GGTACATTGCAGTTCTTTTTGAAATAAAAAAACTGGCCTCAGGAAATACATCGTGATTCACACAGGAATCATGCAGGAAACCGTCCATTTCCAACCAGTGCCCACTGTAATGTTATGACTTTATTCTCATAATAAAAATAAATGAATCTCTAGTCTGGCCCTTAAACTCCGTTGTACATTTGGTCCAGGCATCCATGGTAGTGGCGGTAAATTAGCAAATGTCTTTAAAAAGTGACTTTAAGGAGCACATATTAATTGTAATTTACATATATATTGTATATGTTTTATTACTGGAAAGTTGAGTGAAAGGAAAAAAATCATAAGATAAAGGCATCCAGTGCCTTAACTTGGATATTTGAGCATTTTGAGGTCAGACACACCGTTGTTAAGCTGTTCTCTTCTAGAGAGTGACTTGACTGTATTTGCTTTAAGTTGGAAAAAAAATAGTCTGCATGTTTTCTTGTTAATTTGTGGTTTAAAAAAAGTAAGTATCAGAGTATAAAATAAACTGTTTTTGCCGGCAGGTTTGAACATTTTTAGATAATGCAGGTATTTAGAAACTGTTTTGACACAGTTCAGTAAAAAAAATGTTTTAGGCTATTTGCTGTTGTGGGATTTTAAATATACATATACATATATTCTTTTCTCCTGCATCCATATATATTTTTTATTATGAACCATATGCTTACCTTTTCCAAAGTGCCACTTTCTCCAAAATATTTCTAAAACATAAAATATTTCCTCACCTTTTCTATTTTATCGTTTTGCAAATCTACACACTTATCACAATTACATTTTAAATGACAGAAAGGGGGTGTCCGAAGTCATAGGTAAAGCAGACAGACACCCGAACCAGTTTAATGCTAAAAGGAAAAGGCATGACATCTATATATTTATATAGTAATAAATCAATAAAGAAACATAGAAACATTAAATAGGTTAAGTAGTTTTTCATGTGTTTACATATAAGACTCTTAAGCTACGTTCACGTTGCAGCCTGGAGTGACCCAAATCCGATTTTTTGGCCCATATGCGACCTGGATCTGATCTTTTCATGGCAGTCTGAACAACAAAGATCCGATGTTTTCCAATCTGACCCAGGCCACTTGGCTATGTGGTCCTTAATCCAATACGAATCTGATCTTTTCAAATCCTGAACGCCATTAATACCCGACAAAGGTCACTATTCTGGGTCTTGCTATGAAGAAGCTGCAAGAAAAACAACCATGGCGGAACGATGATGCGGAGAGCAGTATTTATGTTTAACCATCTTGAAAAGATTGAGGTTTTATAGATGAGAAAGATCGCTAGATGTTGTCTGGCACTAGCATCCATGTTTACTTTCGTAAACACAGAGCACGCTGGCCTGTGACGTCATCGCGCCCTCTACCGCCCATGCGGGACACTTGCGTTTTATGACTGCAGTTCACACAGGAGGTCACATACAAGTCGCATGAATTTCGAAATGTGAACGGCAACGCAAAAAAAAAAAACGCATTTCACAAAAAAAAACGGAATTGAGCATCAAGGACTGCAGTGTGAAGGTAGCCTTAGATGACTTACAGAAGGGTTTCCACTATAAAACACAAAAATTAGATGATGAATTCTGTATTTGTCATCTTTAACGTTAGCATAATGATTTGGAAGATGAAATATTGTTTTACTGTTGTCTGTTTATCGTTAATATAGCTAAAAAGTCAAATTAGGACATTCCACTCGAGTGTATCGTGCTGCCACACTCTAGTTTAGGAACTCCTTGTTCCAGGGGTTGTGAATTACGTCCACATGGGTACAGCGAATACCTGTTTTTTTGGGCAAAACATTCATTTGACTTGTGTTTATCTGTCTGTGTTCACTATTATTCCCCCACTAAATGTAAAGTCATAATTTATTATTATCTAGAGACTATTAATAACAGGAGGTTCTCACCAAGTCCACACTTTCCTGTGTTCTTGAGGAGAACCCAAGTATGGACTCGTGTTCTCGTGAATTGAGAAACGGTCATTCTTTTTGCTAATGCTATGAGCATACATACATAACGACTCTGCTGCTAAGTTATTTAAGGAGTAATGAAACAACTTAACTTCCTAATTTAAGTAACTCTTTCAATGTACCCTTTTTTGGAACAAATATAGATAATAGTTTATTTACATTCTTATCCATTTCAGATTTGTATTTTTTATTCTTTTTAGCTTACTGTGTTTCCTCAATCACTGAAACCATCTGTTAAAGAGTTCTGTACAGTTCATGTTTGTCTCAGGAAGATAATTGGAGGTGCACCAACCTCCAACCTCCCTTACCTTCCCGAATCAGTAGCCGCGGTCAATTTCAATCACGAAAAGTATTCTATTTAAGACTGTAGTTTATTCTAAGCTCCAAGAACAATCTGTTTGCATTTTTACTAAAAAAAAAACAGCAGTTTTGCAAATTTGTTTTTAAAATACAGCAAATATTTGATGAAATATTGGAGTGCTTAACTTTGAAATGAAACCCTGCTTACTTCCTGTCTATGCTTGCCTGCAGCTCGCTGTTGGCACGGCTCTGCTAGAAAAGGCAGAGATCAGGCTGCCTGCCTCTGAATCCCTCCCCCCCCTTCCTGGTGTTTCAGGGAGCAAAAGACATCTTCTGGGGGGGGGGGGGTAATTCCCTGACAAGAAGGACGGGACAGCAAGAACTAAATAACGCTCACATTCAGCACCATGAGAGTGTAGAGAATAAGGACAGGGTGGGAGAATGAAAGGAGAGCAAAGTGAACAGAGAAAGTGGCGAGATGAGCTGGAGGAGGAAAAGTGGGGGGAGGATCTTTCCTTTTGGGAGTCGGTGTTGCAGGATTGAGGAGAAAAGTGTAGACAAGTCTGAACTGTTATGTCAACCCTCTAACAGCGCGGAGGTGTGTGCAGCAGTGAAACAATAGCCGTTTGTACGCTAAGCCTACAGCTGTGACCATCTCCACAGGCCTTCTGGAGGAGCCCTTAGGTGTGAGAAAAGAGATATCTAGAGGATCAACACCTGATTTTAACACATCGATTACTCCCTCAGCTGCTCATTAAGAGCTCTGGCAGATAATGGAGATAAAAACATTAAAAAAAAAATACAAACATGGATCCATCAGGGAGATTATTGCCGGGGTTCTAAACATGTGCTGCTATTGAAGAGCTTCCAGCTGATTTAAAAGGCAGAGGCATGTCAAGATCGCCGTCTTATCTCAACCAACACCTTAAGAGTCAGTGAAAGAACCACACCTGAGAGGGAAAAAAACACTTCTGTACCAATAAGGCCGTTTTTTATGCACATTTTTAATTCGCTCCTTGAAATTCTGTATTTCTACATTAATTTTCCATCAGCACAGTGAGGTTAGCTGAGGGAACAACACTTAGACGGGCTGTGGTGTTTAAAAAAAGCTGAATCAGTACTGAGAAGCCAAAAATTGGGCCAGAGATTTTAAACCAGCTGTTTTAACCCAGTTACATCAAATTTTTCCCCCATCCTTGAATTTAGCAGCAGTGATCCCATCTCACAGAATTTGGATCAATAATAATTTAGATCAATTCCAAATTACAGATGCATTCCATTTCCTCTTCCTATTTTATTCCTTTTTTTTTTGTTATGTTTTTTAATATCTAGTGTGTATTGAATTGTCATTGTAGTTTTGCTAGATTCTTATTTTATCTTTACGTAAACAGAAAGTATTCATTCTCATTCCAGGCCCTTAGGTGGTGGTATTGTGCTTGGAGAAAAAGTTGTAGCTACCACATAGACCAATCATGCAACTTAGTATTCATATGCTACTGGTTGGTGTAGGGGAAAAAAATGAAATAAAAATTACAAAAAAGGTAGTCCTAATTTTAAAGGAGTAATAACCTGGTAATTTACATATTTAATCCTTCTGATATTGTCTTTAAATTAATATTTAGTAATTTTTGGAGAAAAACTGTTTAAATGGAGCTAATTCCGAGCTAATGTCCTCGCAAAGATATGCTTGAGAATTTGACTTGAGTGTATGCACGTTAAAGTGTATGTAGTGTTAGCACCATTAGCAGATGGTTTGTTTACCATATTTTCCCGATCTCGTACAAAACAGCCAATAATGTTTGATCACACTGCAAGGCCTGGAGTTAAATTACAACTTTATTCTTGTGAAATCCGATTGTTTTGTGTGGTTGTTCACATTTCTAAATATTTGCCTCACCTTAGGCTACAGTGCCTAGGAGCCTAATGGAGCATTCACAGCGATTTGGGCGTCAAGAATGTTTAAACCCGGAAATTTGGATGCTAGGTCAAAAGCTCTGGTTGCTAATCTGCTCTGCTCTTTAGCTGAGTTAGAACAATAGTTTTAACAGGTTTTTAAGCGAGAAATCCCCCCTCCAAACATCCTCTGTGCAGTCAGTTCATCAGGATTATAATCCTACTAAATTATGCAGTTCTTGTTCAGAGCGCCAGACCTCCACCATACCGCCGGGAGGCAGCGCTGGAACCCCCCACTGAAAGCTGGATGTTACAGAATATGTTTTTATTAACTTTTCATTTTAAAGACCTGTTAAAATAGGTTTTAAGCATGCAAACATGTAAGATGAAAGAAAAAAAATCTAAAATCTAAAAACACTATAAAATCTTCACAATATTCCAGTTCCTAAAATTTTCTGTTACCATTATCCCTCCATCATGGTCCAGCATTCATTTACTGGACCATAAAACGCAGCAAACTGGAACAAAACTGACATTTCCTGCTTTTAAAGAAGCATTTATCAAACTACTAAGAGTCGCAGGTTCTTGAAGGGATTTATCTTATTCTCTAGTATAATAAAAAAACATCTACCACACATTCTGAGAAAGAAAAACAAAAGTTTGTCTGAAATTGCTATGGTGACAGAAAGAGCCAGGAGATTGCTGTGGAAATCAGTTCAGCGGAGGACAGAAGCAGTAGGTTTGCCTTTGGAGGAAAACAAAAGGCAGCAGAATGTGAGGATCAGCTGGTTCACCGCCCCGAGATCACTACTTACTTGATATAATAGGGCACATTGTTTGGAGAGATGCCTTGCTCGAAGGGGCTTTCTACTGATCCTGAAAAGACAAAAGGGACAAACCAGGAGTGTCACAACAAAAGACCTGAACTTTCACACAGTTTAAACAATTACTGTGAAAAAAGAGACAAAATAAATCCCCCAACGCTGAGTTTTTTTTTTTTTATCTCATGGTAAAACTTTACAAAGATAGGATGTCATAAAGCTTCGCTTTCTTCTGTTTATACTGTAGAATAAAAAGCATAAATTATCCTAATCCAGAGGTCAACTTTCCTTTTTACTATAAAAATAACTAAATCCAACTTCTCACCACATTTAAGGTTTAAACCCGTTACTGTTCTGGTTTCTTAGATGGGCTTTTTGCTTCAGTCCTCTCTCAGCTGCTGTCAGCCCTGATGCTCATATACATTTTTCCTAAAACACTTTCTCCTTCCACTCAACTTTCCATTAATATTCTTGGATAGCTTCATACCTTACATTATTAGAAATATGCTTATTTTTTGCTCCAACATCAGATTTCTATAACTTCACATGAATTTCACCTGATTTCCAGGAAAGTCAGACGCCGCTTGCTCCATTTCTTTTCGATACAAATAAACTGAATTTAATTAAATCATTTCTCCAGTCACCTTAAAGCCTCATACCTCAGACCAAGATACGAGGACTGAAGATGGACTTTTAGCAACTTCCAACTCTTCAGCGCTTTGTGGAACTGATGCTACCTGCTCCTGCTCAACGTTTATCGCATTATAAGAGCTTAAACAGCCCTAAATTCAACTTTTTCAAACTTTTTCAAATCAGCAAAAAAAAAGTGTTACCTAAATTGACTGCGACCCAAATGTCAATCAACTTAAATGCAGCGAGCATTTGAAGCCTTATTTTTAATCCTTTGAAAAATGAAATAAATCAGGCTGGAAGTAAAACTCTAGGTGGAAAATATCTGTTTTTTCTCTAAATCGAGCACAAAATGGACTTTTTAGGGGCGGGATTGGGATTGCCTCACCTGAAGAGTTTCCCAAGTCCCTCTGAGCATCTGTCAGCTGCTCCAGATGTTTTTCGACAGAAATCTAAAAGAGAGGAACCAGGAGACATTCTTAAAACCGTAAAATAATTCACATTTTTGCTCTGTGCCAAAACCATTGATGTGTTGTTGTTGATGAAAAATACATATGTTTGCTAAACACAAATGAATGTAATTAGCATCAAGCTTAAGAATGTAGTTTAGAGTTTTAAAAGGAGGGGTTATGTATGTAGAAAAAATTTATGACAGTAAGTTTGCAGATAAAATCTAAAAAGTTTGGGTATTAGGGCCAGAACACACCGGTTATATACGACTTTTTAATCTCCATTCCGATTTTTTTCCATGTCACAAAGTATAGAGAGGCTCCGCCCAGGCAGGGTGAGCAGATCTGTTCAGTTTTTTTTTTTTTTGTTTTTTTTTTTTTCAATTCTTTCTCTGTGTTATACAAAAATTAAAACGATTTCCCACTTGACTTACACCGATTATGAAAAGTTATTAAAAAACAACACTGACGCAGCTATAAAGCAAAGCCTCACATAATGAGTCTGTGCAGCATCTCAAACCAGAACAGATAATGTCCCTATGCATATATTAAAAATATAACGAAATCTACGTCTAAAGAAAAACAGCAAAAAACATCTTGGGGCAGTTTATGTGCTGACTGCGACAGAGAGAGGTGATTCCCAGATAGAGATCTGGGAAGTTCTTCCATATTTTTCTTTTTTTTCATAGAGGTTAGAGATACGCTGCACTAACCTGTTTTGTCTGCCCCTCGTTATTTAGTTTTTTTTGTGAGGCTATTTTACTATATTCATTTTTTCTCCTCCTGAAGTAATTTTGTTTCCTGAGGAGATTGATAAACTGAACTTTCTATCCCTCATTTTTTTGTGAAGCTTCAAGAGGATCACTACTTTATCTGTTTTCTGTCCTCATGAACTATCATGGTTAAAGAATTCTATTTTGTAATGTTTTATTGATTGTTTTTGCAAGAGTCTGTCCCACTTACTATATATGCAATGTGGGACTCCAAAACTCTTTCCTCGTGCCATTAACAGATTTTATTTTGTATTTTCCCCCAAATATGTTTTACTTTGCAACCGTGTCTCTCTTCCTGTCAGACCCATGAAACTGCTGCTGAATTGCTGCGTAGTCTTACTAAAATAGACCTGGGCTCTATCTCAATCAGGCTTATGCAAACCCCCTGCGTAAAATCGTGACGGGTATGATCATCCCCATTGAAGGATCGGATGCAAAATCGGATTTGGTGTGTTCTGGCCTTTATTGTTGAATCTTATAGCACAGCATTTCCTTACACTGGTATGAAATATCAGAGTAGGTGCTGCTTTCTTCTGATACCTTTTCCTTTCTGCACTTTTTTTTTTTTACTTTTATTTTTTTAAAGTAGATTTGAATATCAAAGATAATTTAATGTATATATATTTATCCCAGAGTGAAAATGTTTTCAAAACTGCAGTTTTTCCTTCCACACAACCTTCCATTATTATGCCTAAACAGAAACCTTTGCACCTCAGCGACTACATCGTCCTGCTGCACTAATGCTGAATCTGCAGCCTTTATATCCACCTTTCTTAATATTTCACCTTTCTAATAATCCAGTTTATTTTGTTGCTAATATAGATTACCTTTAAAAATATCTTCTGAAATATACCTTGATGTAAGCAATCCATATCACAGAACCCAACTTAAAAAAACTCTGAACTGTCCCTTTAAAGCTGAGCCCGTTTCCTTGGTTTTAATAATTATAAATTAAAGGAAGACATTGTCTTTACACTCAACAGATGCATTTTTATTTGTCTTTCCTCTACAGTTTTATTTTAAATCACCATCAAGCTTTTATAACCCTAAGCATCAGATGCATCCTTTACTTTGTGTAAAGAAAAGGTCAACTTTAAGCAAATATGTCTGGATTATTACAATAAAAAAAAAAAATGTACATTCAAACAGACACTGAATAGTTTTATGTGAACAAAGACAAAATGATGAACATGAAGATGCAGTGAAAGAACGGCTGGGGAGGGGGGGATTCGGTCGGAATGATGCGTCTTTACAGTCGGATTGTCGCAGAAAATACTCCCTACTTCCTCTCTCATTCAAACCAATATAAATACTAAACAATATTTGTTATACTTATTTTTATGTTTCACTCACATAAAAAAAGGAATTTTCTAAGATTTCTGAGTCAGTTGCACTGTAGCGTTTAAACCCATGAACAGTTTAGGTCAGTTTTATACCAAGTGTCTCATCAGCTGAAGGCATAAAGAAGATAACGGCTGGTTATGAAAGTTCATTTTAAAGGACATCGCTGCAGTACAACTTTTATCAAAATTATTCGTTTTTCTAAAATAATACATCCACAGAACATCTAGAGTGGTGAGGAGTCACTGGAAATAAAAACAATGGTATAAGTGTTTCAAACATTTTGGAAGGTCTGAAATCCATAAATATTTACTTTTGGAAACAATGCTTATGGTATGAAAGGCTTAGGCAGTAGGTTGAAATGTGTTGAGCTCCAATTCAGGGGAAGCATCCTCTGAAGGCCAGATTCATCGCCCGATTATGTCAGAGAGCGGCGCAGTGGCCTGCTCGGATTGGAAGAATGTTCTTATGTGGCCAACAAATGCGTCCTCCTTTTTGCTAGTTTTGAAGGACAGGTCCAATGTATCCTACATAGCCTTGGACATATGATTGCTCACACTGAGCCTGGTTCTGCTGGAGGTTTCTTCCTGTTAAAAGGGAGTTTTTCCTCTCCACTGTCGCTACAAGCAAGCTTAGTGTGAGGGATTGCATTGGAGTCAGTGAGTCGATGAAATCAGCTGGTTTACCTAAGATAGAAAACTGAATCAATTTGACTGTATGATCTGGTTAAACTGTTAAGTGCCTTGAGATGACATGTTTTGTGAATTGGCGCTATAGAAATAAACTGAACTGAATTAATATCAGGTGATTCACTGCAAGTCCAAGCAAGCCGGCTGCTCCGTGCTCAGAGGAAAAAGGTAAATGGCGTAGAACAGTGGTGAATATTGGAAGTGCAGTTTAATATAATGTAAGTATGTGAATATTTTTGTCTGAAATGAATGCAAATAGTTTTTTTTATGGTTAAAGATATATGGCAGGTAATGTTTAATTTATTGAAATGTTTTTATCCCTCTCTGTGTAAATTGCTTTGGCTGAAATTTAAGCTCATGTTCCAGTATCTTTGCAGAGTGGGGACTATAAATATGATCTTCGTGATAATGGTACTGCTGCTGAAGCTACTCAACAATTTGATTAGCAGCCAGAACAGTAATGGGAAGTTCTGCATTCATTCTTTGCCTTCTTTGTGTGTCAACTCTTACGGTTGCTAGGTGAGAGAGCATACGACTGGACCTGTTTGAATCCATGGCCAAAACTCTTCCGGCCTCCTTATTTTCACAGACCGGTCTACCTGGAGTGCGTCCTTGTAGGATGCAGCCATGATGTGAGACGGAGCAAAGATGATGCCATATCCTAGTAGCTCCATCATAGAGAGCAGAAACGGCGTTGCATTTCTCAGATTCAACCACGAAAAACAAAAAAGCAGCAAAATGAGGGTGAGCATTACTCAGGCTTTTCAACGTTAGTGCCAACTTTAAGAATCACTTATAGTCACAAGAATCAAAGAGGGTAAGAAGGCAGGTATCACCTGCGATATATCTGTTAATCATCATAGAGTTAATTATTTCAACAATTTAAAATGGTAGGTTTTTCAAGCTTTAACTCTGCCTCCGTGAGCTGATTACAGCGTCAGCGGTGCAGGTTTCACACCTTTGAAGTGACCCCTCATGTGTCCAAATAAGTACCGTAATTGTCTGACTATTAGCCGCACCTGAATATAAGCTGCAGAAGCTAAATTGCATGATTTGTACATTTACAAGCAGATCGGACTATAAGCCGCAGGTTTTTTATGTTTAATGTCCGTCTTTCTCACTGTCGTTCTGTCTCGTACCGCTCGCAGTAGAAGTCTGCTTCCGGAGGACCTCCGCATTCCCCCGCGTGCGGCTACCGTACTTGTGTGTTGAAGCAAATGTGACGTCAACATGGTGGATGGTAAAAAATTTAGGTATTACGCTAGTGGCCGTTTAACCTGACTCCGCCAGATGGATTTGCTCCGCATATCCATCTGGAAACCTTCGGTTGAAGTAATTTTGGGAAGGGGCGAAAATACTGGTTAGCTGATTGGCCTATGTTGGTGATAGACGGGCCAAATAAACCAATCAGATCAACGAAGCATATGACGTACTAACAGCCAGGCTACTCTTGCCGAAAGCAGTCGGGAGAAGAGCAAAAACATCTTTTCCTCTGAGAAAAGCCTCCAGAGCAGTGTTTTGCTCTTCTTTCAGTGAAGAAATACTCTGTAATTCCGCTAAAACTTGCTTGATAGTCACGCTAACGCTAGTTTCATCAGCTGAAGCCGCCATGTTCTTTAGACTGAACTGTTGCGCTTCTCGTTGCGTCACACCTCAACCCGCCTCAAAGCCAACGCTGATTGGACGTTCATTTGGTGAACGGCTCCAAATTTTCTTCAACGGAGAGTCTCCAGACTGATTAGCGAGTGAAACCTTGAAAGCTTGCGGGATCAGGATGGTCTCAAGAGGCTAGTGGCTCGTGAGGCTAGTTAGCTGTAAAAGTCCATAGATAAGCCGCATTGTTATATAAGCCGCAAGGTAGAAAAATGGGGAAAAAGTCGCGACTTATAGTCCGAAAATTACGGTAGGTAAATGTGTTTAAAAACAGTTTCTGTAACGCTCATTAAAAGTCAGGGTATTGGCTATTTCCATTGTAACTCTAAACGTTTTAGCTTAAACAACGTGTGTGCTGAAATGCAGAGGAAAGCCCAGATTTTACTCAAAAGACCAACACGCTCATAAGAAATAAGAGTATTGGCCTGATTTTCAGACTTACAGGCGGGTTACGCTGAAATACGCTGGCAAGAACACTAGTATGACTTTCTGCATCAATGCCCAGATTTGATCTGCTTGAGGTTCTGCTGAGGGGATCAGGAAGTCCAGGTTGCTGTATTGCCTTCATCTAATCTCCATCTTTCTCTTGACCAGTGCATTATTTACAGTAGATGAGACCAATTCGCTAATCAAAACAGTACACTCTAGTGATGAAGAAAGATTCTACAGTTTTAACTCCTAAACAGTCAATTAAAATCACAAAAGTTGAATGAAACAAGTAAAAATGAAAGCAATATAAATACTGCATAATTAGCCCGGGACACCAGGTGGTGTAGATTGCTGCACATTTGTTAGTTAATCTCCAGAATTATTTAATCTACAACATATGAGTTTTTAATATATAAAACAGCAAAGACTCATTTTGATCTCTTGGCGATAAAGATAATCTAGAGGAATTGTTTCTGATGGATTTTTATATGAATAAAAAAGGATCAATGATAAAAAATTATCCAAATTGCCATATTTCAGTTTGTAGTTTTATGATTTACTTTAGTAATGTCTACCAGCAGATGGTACATATTCATGGATAGTGAATATTCATGCAGCAGCTAAAAAGACAAACTTGTGACAGTAGTTTCTTGGAGCCTGTGATGGGAAATATCATTCCTTAATGATAAAAGACGGCTCCCCATCTAGTTCTTGCATGTTTTATCATGCTCTGTCAGTAAGCTACATCTTGAATATCCCAGGGGGAAGCACGGCCCTGTGTTTGAGCCTGGAAGTCTTCAAAATGTTGGACCGAGATGGGTTATGGTCCTGTCTCTGTGGACAGAGCGGCTCATTAAACATCCAACTCTTCATCTGCTACCAGGCTGATGACACAGTGTGTGAGGAAGAGGAAGTGAGGAGGAGAGCCATGACATGAGATGAGTACGGTATGACAGTGATGGTCAATCACATTTTTTTTTCCCCCTGCTAGTATAAAACCAGGGTCTGAAATTACCTTTGTGTCCACCTCATCCAGTCCATTTCTGCCAGAGTTGCTTTTGCCCGTATCCACGGTAACCTGATTAAAATCGCACAAGAGATGTGTGTCGTTGTTGAAGCAGAATTTGCTATCACTGAAAATGCACTTTGTGCCTAAGTTGACCACCGCCTGCGACCCCTTCAGGCATAAAGAAATATAGCTGAACTCACTTAACAGAGCTGGATCTCTAGGTACCCTCCTCACACTGAAGGGATAAGGATCAGGCTGTTTCCGCAAAATCATGTTAAAAAATTTTCTAAAATTATTTTCTACAACAACAAAGTGACATGTTTGTGGCATACATGCTAACAGGCAGCATGTGGTAGCATACATGCTAACAGATAGCATGTATGCCACAACATGCTAGCTGTTAGCATGTGTGCTACAAACACGCTACCTGTTAGCATGTATGCCACAAATAGGCTAACAGCAAACACGTTTGTAGCACACATGCTAACAGCCAGCATGTGGTAGCATGCATGCTAAGAGGTAGGGCATTTATACTAAAAGATAGCATATTTATAGCATAAATGCTAACAGCCAGTTTGCAGCGTACATGCTAACGACATGTTTGTGGCATACATTGCAAAAGGCAGCATGTTTGTGGAATTTATTGCAAAATAAGGCACATTTGCAGCATACACGGTAACAGGTAGCCTATTTTTGGCATAAATGCAAACAGTAAGCATGTTTGTAGCACACATGCTAACAGGCAGCGTGTTGTAGCATGTATGCTAACAGGTAGCCTATTTATGGCACACATGCTAACAGCAACTACATTTGTAGCACACATCCTAACAGCCAGCATGTTGTATCATACATGCTAACAGATAGCATGTATGCCACAAATAGGCTACCTGTTAGCATGTGTGCTACAAACATGCTTACCTGTTAGCATGTATGCCACAAATAGGCTAACAGCAAACACGTTTGTAGCACATATGCTAACAGTAGTATGTTGTAGCATACATGCTAACAGATAGCCTATTTGTGGCAAATGCTAACAGCAAGCACAATTGTAGCACACATGCTAACCGGTAGCATGTTGGTAGAATACATGCTAACATATAGAATGTTTGCAGCATTTGTAATAACAGACCACATGTTTCTACTGTCAGCATTTTTGTATAATACATGTTAATAGTCGGCATGGTTAGAGCATTATGGTAATAGTTACCATGTTTTAACCATGCATGCTAACAGACTGCCTGTTGTAGCAGACATGTTAAAGGACAGCAAGTTTATAGCATTATGCTAACAGCTATGTTGTTTGTAACATACATGTTAAAAGACAGCATGTCTGTTATTTAAACAGTCATGTTTGTAGCATACATCATCTGCCTTAAAAAATACTATGGTATTGCAGCTTAATTCACACAGCGAGTGAAAGGCTCCAACGTCATCAAGTCTACTTGTCCTTGGTTTCACCTCAACTGGTGGACAGGGATTTTACAGAGCGATTCGTAGAGCTTCTTTTAGTTTTACTTTCCGGAGTTCACCGGATTCCCAAAGATGGAACCAGTATTGAACAGCTAAGTCTGGATGACGGTGACTTTCAGCTGTTTCCGCCAATCAGCGACTCTGTTCGGGTTCCTGCTGACCCAGGATGGGAGACAAATCACCCAAATGAATCAGAAAGGTTAGGTGAGATGGCATTCTGAAGCTCAGGGAAGAGCATCAGGAGATAAAAACACAAGAACACCACCAGAGAGAGCACCAGAACCGAGACGAAGTGGCCAACTGTGCCCCCCACTGGAGCTAAAGCAGCTTTTTAAAGCCACCTAAAAACATCATAAACACACCCCCTGCATTCCCTTTGTCAAGATTATTTTCTCCATTTTCTATTTGATTTAAAAAATATTGTCTCTGCAGCCTCCTTAATTGTAGGTCCCGCCCACATCTAGTCTGTGCAACAGAACCTGAAAAAGAGGGACTGCTTCTCAGACACGGATGGATCTAATTTTGCAGAAAACGCACCATTCGCCACCTTCGGCTTTCTCTATAGATCCGCCCTCTAAATAGAAATACCAAAAACAACACAGGAATCATTCGCTCCAGCTGCAGAATTTGCCTTCGATGTGAATGTATCTTTAGAGTTATAAAAAAATCAAAAATCCAATTCTTTCTAATTAATTCATAATTTAATTTTTCCAAAAGTTCCATATTTTTTTGTCAAATCTAAATATTTTCAAGAATTATAATTTCTTGAAACAAGGTGGAGATTCTAACTGTTCCCCAGGGATCCTTTCAAAAAAACCTTTTCTAAGCTGCTAAGGATGCAAGAGTTATCAGGTACCTGCTTTATTTCCACCTTGGTAGACTAGAAAGGGAAAATTAAAAGCCTAAAGTTCCTCTAGCTACTGCAGCTCCAGTATGTTTGGCTCTCGTTTGTAGCGATCCACATTCCCTTCTAATTGTGTAATCTCTTTTTGGACATAGTGTTGCAACCTATGGCCACAACTGAGCAAAGAAACAGCTTGGTTTATTGTTGGCAACAACTGTAATGAACTTTTGTTCATGGCTAAAGAAAGGCAGATGTTTGCCTGAGTGCCAGGCATCTGCTCGGGTCCCAACTTCACAAAGAACGGCCTTCTGGTCCTGTCACTGATGTTGCATCCAGGAGTTCATTTCACCCAGCCGTGATTGGCTCCATCCGTCATATCCAGTTACGATCACCGTTTGACTTCCCGAACACCAACTGTGGTGGTTATTGTCGCTGACAGAAGCGCAGGCTGTTCTCCCTCTGAACACCAGCATCTCATCTTTCTGAAACCAGCACCTTTTAATCATCGCAGACGAGCAACTTACAGTAATTTACCAGGTACACCATATAGCAATGTGACAAAACATATCCCATTCATCCAGCAAATGTAAGGTTTTGTTTGTAAATGTAACATCTACTAATAGTTGAATTGAACATTATTAATTATTTTGGTCACAAATTTACAGTAATTGGTATCAAATGTGGGGCATTTATAGGTACAAACCAAATTCAACCAACCCAAGCTTAATGACGCCACTGAAGCAGTCAAGGAAACATGGCTGTGTTTGAAAGTATGGCTCCACCTTTAAATAACAGATTATGCTCGCCTGGTATTTCTGATGGACATGTGGAGCCTGCAGTTGGCGTCTGCAAACCTGTCTGAATCTGTTAGCGACTTGTCGCCTGGAGCCAGGGAGAAAAAATGTCTCAAATATTTACTGATGCAACAATGACCATCATCTTCATCCTCAGGTAAGTAAGTCTAGTAGTGTTCAAGGCAACATTAGTGTGGGGTTTTAACTTGAATAATTACAATTTTTATCGTCTTTGTTCTTTGATTGTTTTCAACAAATAACTTGGGACAATATTGGTTCAGATATGAAACTATGGATCCTTAGCTGAGTTTACCAGATGTTGGATCCAACATCTTCAGGCATGTTTAGCAAGAAGCAATAAATTGGCCATTTTTGTTGGCTTTATTAAGAATAAATATTTAGCAGTTAATTCTGATCTGGTCTTCTGATTGAAAAACTATAACTGAAGAAATATTAAGTTTGAATCCAGCTCTGCCGAATTGTAGGTGACGGCAAACAGGAAGCCTCTGATTGGTCAAATCTACATCCACTCTACACTATGCACATCTCCTGTTTGGTACCGTACCGGCTTGTTTTTTTTTGTATGACCGCCATTGTGGAAAACGACTTGTGAAGTTGGACCAACTAGAAGAGCGAGGTGTGCGAGAATGCTGGGACCCTTTTTCCACCTGGATCCCCGCTCTTTTTGGCCCTTATGTCCCTCCATTGTCGCACAAACTTGCACCCACTTCCTCGCCGCCTCAGTCCTATCTAGACCCACAGCTAGTTCGTGATAGTCTCTCTTGCGTTGTGGCGTGGAATAACATAGCGCAGACCATGCTTCAATATTGAGCATAAATCTTAAATGTCTGCGTCATACCTGCGACATGCTCACTGCGACACACTGCAGCGGGATTATAACCAGCCCTTAAGACAGTAAATTCAATCTTGCTAACAAGATCAACAGTCAGAGACCTCCATCCTCAACAAAGCGGAGTCTCCTTTTAATAAATTCACATTAGATATTGTAAATAAAGAGTCAACCAGAGGCCTTTTTCGCTTAAAACTTTTGCTAATTATTCATATAGTTAAATCTTAAAGTTGCCTGTATCGATCCGTTGCATCCTTATTCCTATGAAGTCAGGGTCACCACTGACATCTCTCACTTTTGGCTCCCTTGTTTAGCTTAAAGTATCGAAGCAAAATTAGACATTTTATAGCCCTCGGATCTTGGTGAACTTCAGCATGTCTGAATTAGCCAGCCTATTAGAGTAAAAAGTTTGCTTCAATATCCTCATTAAATGTTTTTACAGTTCCACCCTCACGAAAGAGACAACTTAACATTTTGATGGAAGGCATTCAGGCTATTATTCTACAAATGTGTAAGCTTCAAATTCTTCATTATATCCTGTATCCTACTTTAGGATACATATTTTGGCAACAAATTGCCTAATTCTAAGTAGAGGTTTCATAAGGGTTAAGTAAATGTGATTTATTCTTTTTTTGTTTCCTGTGTCTAAATGCCTACCTGTAGCCTTTTCCAGCGCATGTTGAGGTCTTCGATGCGTTCCAGGTTGCTAGTTGACAGCTGGATGTCAGATGGATCGAACGCGGCCGCCAACTGGTTCATATGTGTGACATCCTCCTTTATCAGATTTAACTCTTCCTGGAACTCCTTAACCAAAAAACAAAACAATAAATATCTAGAGATACATGCTGAAACCAAGATGTTAGCAGTGAGGAGGTGGTTTTGACCTTGACTCTGTCGATGTGTTCGGGTAAGGAGTCAATCAGCAGTTCTCCTACAGGTTCCCAGGCCTCCTTCACCATCTCTGCCTGCCTCAGCTGTGTATCCAGCTGATTTTCCGCTTCCTGCAGCTCCGCCAGTCTTTTCAAGGCCAACTCCAGCCTCCTCTGCCAGTCCGCAGAGTCGGCGTTCAGTCGGTCCCACTTGCTCAACACGTCATCCGCTTCTTTGCGCAACACCCGCCCCACGTTCTGAGCGCGCTCCTCTGGGCTGATATCTGATGTTTAAGACAAACAAGGCCCAGTAAAATAAATAAAACCCTCTAATTTATTGTGTCACATTTACAAACCACAGCTTGTTTTAGTTCCTCGCCAAAGAGTTGAACTTTACGACATTTTGCCCAAATACAATCCCAATGTCTAGTTCCATTCATTTGTGCATCTACAGAGTAGCTTAAAGGAATAGTACACCCAAAACATGATTAGCCTTCATTTTCTACTCACCCCCATGCTGAACAACACTCTGGAGTACTTTTTTGATATCTCAAATGCATCTGGAGATCTGGGAGGCTTCTTGCTGTCTGCTGACATTCAAATAATGGAGGTCTATGGCGCCAGAGACAGAAAGGTCCATAAAAGTCCACAAAAAACGTGTCAATATTCCTCCATACTGCTCGTCCAATGTAATCCAAGTGTCCTGAGTGGGTAGCATCCAGAATTTACTCGAAACGAAGTCATTTAGAACGTTTTAGAGCCTAAACAGTAGCGTATAGGATTTCCTAATAGCGCCCCCATGCGCGCTCACGATTCGACGGAAGCCGGCAGACCAAACCAGCGCATTCAGCTCGGCAAAGAACTCATGCTCTTCCTCAACACTGAAGTCCTCAGACATTTTTCTTTCGTTGTTTCTTTCTTTGCACAGGTAAACAGCACATTTCTTCTTCTACGCTTGCATTATCGGCAGAGCAGACGCTGAATGCGCACTTTCTTCCGGTTTGGTCTGCCGGCTTCCGTAGAATCGTAAGCGCGCATGGGGGCGCTATTAGGAAATCCTATACACTACTGTTTAGGCTCTAAAACGTTCTAAATGACTTCGTTTCGAGTAAATTCTGGATGCTACCCACTCAGGACACTTGGATTACATTGGACGAGCAGTATGGAGGAATATTGACACGTTTTTTGTGGACTTTTATGGACCTTTCTGTCTCGGGCACCATAGACCTCCATTATTTGAATGTCAGCAGACAGCAAGAAGCCTCCCAGATCTCCAGATGCATTTGAGTTATCAAAAAAGTACTCCAGAGTGTTGTTCAGCATGGGGGTGAGTAGAAAATGAAGGCTAATCATGTTTTGGGTGTACTATTCCTTTAAGCTCGTCGATTGTTTTTACATCTTGCCATGGATTTTCAAATGGAATCATCTCTTGTCTTTAACTAGACCAACATGTCACCAGATAGGGCTTTTACTTAAATCGGCTAGTTCTGACTGTATGTTAGGATCAGTGTCCTTTTGATGAGAGGCAATGCGTTTAGCTCTCCTTTTCCTGCCGAAATAAAGTTCCCCCACAGCATGATTCCATCACCACCATGTCTCACCCTTGTGTTTTTAGTTTTCGGGAACTCCTAGTACTCCCATTGCAGGCCAACAAGTTAGACTTTCACTTAATGCCTCGTAATAAACTGCAAACAGACTTCTAATGACTTTTTCCCCCTCTAACAGCTGCCTTCTTGCCAAAGATTTATTGAGTGCAGGAGAAACAGTTGTCCTGTGAACTCACTCTACGACCTGAGCTGTGAATATCTGCGGCTTGGCTGATGATTAATGGTCTATCAGTTTTTGGTGGACGCCCAAATCTTTTAAAGTCAAGTTATGCCTTAATCTATCTCCTTCAGATGACGGCTGGAACGGAGCTCCGAGAGGCGTTTAAAGGTGAGTTTTAGAACTTATTCTTATCCGACCCATCTTCTGCATCTCTTGATCTTCATGGTGTCGTCTCTCTTATAATACCTCAATAAAATAGATCAGATTCTGTTGTAGTTTGAGGAAATAGGCTTCTCAGGAAGGTATTCACACCCTGTCTGTTGAAGTTTGTCCTTTTTATGTGTCACCCAGCTCAGAGAACCACATGGGGGCGATAGAGCGGCCCCATGTCTGGAAGGGTCGCCTTCATACACTGGAATCCTCCTGTTCTTTCAGCGCTCTCTGAACATGCCTGAGTTGGCATTTTAACGATTTAATGGACCACGCTTTAAGCTTGGCTGGATGTGTAACCCGGGCTGCTGCCATGGTGCAAGCAGAGCTACAGGTAAAGCATCCGTCCCTGCGTCTCTGTGTGGACTTCCAGAAGCAGTTGTTACCAGGCTGTTACTAGGATTCACATTTTTTTATGTGTGAGCCATAAGAGACGGAGAGACACTTCTTACTCTCCTTTATGTCAGACTCACTGAATTAAGTTTATGTTTGACGGCTACGAGTCGTGAACTCTTTTTTTATTGTCTGTTTTGGCTTTTTGTCAGACATAATTGTTCAAGATTATCCAGAGTTTTAACGTCAAACAAACAAATTCACCACATTAAACTTTGATGAGGTGGACTCCCTTATGTTCTTTGTTTATAATGTGTTTAGCTTATGGTCTCAAACTCATTTCCTTTTCTCGTTTAACAAGAAAGGAAACAGTACATTAAATCAAGTCTGACTTTACTGGTCTATAAATTACAGATTTAATTAGGGCTCTCTTTTGGCTCATTAATATTTTACTACTTTTATTTGAATAATATGTTTTACATCTTGTTTTTGTTTCATTTGTAACGGTTCTATTTGTCATTGGAAGTCAAAATCACTAGGGGAGTAAGAAAAAAAATATTCTGCCAAAAATCTCAATATTTTATTGGTATTAATTCAAAATATGGACGAATAAATCTTAAATAAAAGAAATTCATTAATATATGTAAGTTAAAAAAAATACAAGAATAAAATTATATTATTATAATAGTATTGCAGTAATATTGTATCTTTATTTTTATTATTTTGTTTTTGTTATTTTACATCTTATTTTTAAATCTTTGACTTAGAATTTTTGCACAAGAATTTCAATGTATCTGACTGCTGGATACTGCTGGTATCTGACAAATGGGCAAATTAAAAAAACCTTGAAATTAAGTAAACATTACATTTATTTATTCATTTTAGCTAAAGCCCGATTCAAATATTATATATACCGGTACCATTTGTTAGTTAAAAAAAAAACAACAAAATGGATATCTAAAAAAATAATAAAACAACATTGAATATATAATTACAGTTACTTACCTTTAATGTATAATAGATATGGAGAGTAATTAAGTTAATATATGTATTTTTGCAGGTTAAAATGTTTGGGAACCCCTTCTCTAAAAGGTTGTGAGTTTTTTCCCCTTTTCGTTTTACAGTTTCCTTTTTTTTAGCTGATATGAAAATAATCAATTCATGCTTGTGGTTATAACAGGACAAAATGCAGAAATTAAATGTTAAGAATACTTTTCTAAGGTACAGTACTCCAGTGATTCCCTAAGTGGGAGTAGGGACCCCTGGAGGGTCGTTGGTGATGTGATCCATGAAGGCCCAAAATATGTCATGGAAAATGTCCCATGAAATAAGCAGATGAAACATTTATTTATTTATTCATTTAATATATGATGCAAATATTCCTATTATATTTGTATTAATAAATATACATTAAAATTATAAATTGCACAATGAAGTAATTAAATGTCCCGTTAAAAAACTTAAAAAATACTTTGAAAGGATGAATTGAATAATAAAATGTTATGTAAAAGAACAGTATAGATCTAATTCCCATTATATTTAAATGTATAAGTAAATAAACAAAGTCAAGTAACTCTATGTACTAATTTTTGTTCAGATATCTGTGCGTTACCTCTCAGTTCAGGTGATGGAGTCTCTCTAGGCAGTTCAGAGAGGAAGAGTCCCACATCATCCACAGCCTTGGTCACCACTGGATCCTTGGCCCTCAGCTCCATTCTGAACCCCTAGGGGACACAAACCCTTTCATTCCTCATATCTGCTTAAACCAGAGGTGCCTCCAAATATTCTTGATCTCTGAACAAGAATATTCTCCACCTGTGTTGACTAAGCTGAATGTTTTCTCCTACTTAATTCGCTGTCTTTATATCTGGACAGAGTTCTTTATTTGATATATAATGAAAAAACAAAACAAAGACTTAACTGCAGATTTCTAAGGTTCTCTATGTGTTTATGTCATTGGTACGACAGCTGTGACATGCACAGGCATTCATAGTATCGTAGGATCAGTACAAATCTGTGGTCCATACAGGGTTCTGAATAGTAATGATAATTTGGTGCCGATGATCTTTTTAAACATAACACCTGCCTTGGAACCCCAAAGATAAGCTTCCTAACAAGGAATCAGTTCTAGTTTGTTTTCCAAGCCAAGCCAGGGGTTCCCAAAGTGAGGGTCTGGACCCACTGAGGGCTCGAAATACTCTATGGCAGGGGTCTTTAATGTTTTCCAGGCCAAACTGATGGCGAGATGGAGCGGGGACCCCCTAATTATATATATTGAATGAAACTGTTATATCAAACTGGTCCTATAGTCACTGTATTACAGATAAATCAATGTAATGTAAGTAATCCCTCCCTGGGATTATTAAAGTATTTCTGATTCTGATTCCTGGTTGATGGGACAGGTGTTGTTAATGAAACGGTCCCCAGTTTGAAAGAGCTCCTGTGTCGCTGAATGTGTGCATTGATGACTGAAAGACATCTTCTGCCTCCATTTATCTGTTTACTACAGTATGTTGAATTCAAGTTAATGTGGATTTAAAGACATTTCAATTAGTGGAAAAAACTGCAGGGTGGAATATAAAAAAAGTCTAATCTACAAAAAAACGTTTGCGACCCCCATGCAGTACCTCTGTGGACCCCCTAGGGGTCGCGGACCCCCTGTTCAAGACCTCCGCACTATTTGGTGGGTCTATATATATGTATAAAACAATATGGATATGGAATATGTGGTATATGTAAAGACAAAATTTATCAGAAAAAAAAAAAATGTCTCAGGAAATAATATTAATCTATCATAAAATAAAGTTTTTACATAGAACAACATTTATTAATCTAAACAGTATTCAAATATTAAATATGTCATTAAATTGTGAAAGTAATTATTAAATAATTAATTGTCCAATTAAATAAATAAAAAAAACATCAGTAAATTTCATGTAAAACAATATATTTCATTGAAACCTGATATAATTTTCTTCATTTTATATGTAAAAATAAATATAGACTAAAGAAATGAAGTTAATATACACATTTTTAAGGGTTCTCAAATCTGTTGCATTGATGTTTTTTGAGGTCACAGGATAAAATCTTTGGAAACCTCTGGTTTAAGGCAAGTGTCTGGGCCTGCGTTTATGAGGTGTAATAAAAACAAAACCAAACAGGTAGAAAATGGGAAAAGGTTAATAAGGACAAATCATAAAACTCTTAAACTAAGATTTTCCTCACTGTCTCTTTTAATCATTCTTGGCTGCTTTTTTTGTACTACTGGATCTTTAATTTAATTCCCACTGATGAAAACATCAAATATCTCCTTGTTAATCTGAGACATAAGCTTGTGTGGCGTTTCCTCCTACTCTGTGGGTATCCAGCTGGGTCTGCACGGTGGGGACGTCGCCCCCTACAGGCTTCTCCTGCTCCAGCTGTTGACTTTTGAGCCTCAGCCAGTTGAGCAGCTCCTGCAGTGACATGTGGAGCCTCTTCCAAGGAGCCATCTCAGAGTCCAGCTGTGACCTACCACACAAACACAAGCAGGATATTTCTTCCCTTCTACCTTTCTCCACATTCAGAGCGAAACATTTCCACAGCTGCGATCTTTCTGTACTCCAGGTTGTCGCTCACCTCATGCTGAGAGTTTTGCTGCGCAGGTCGTTCCAGCGGTGCCTCATGTTGTCCAGACGTCTGTGGAGGAGGACGCCGTCCTCGGAGTCCGTCAGAGAGGTCAGAATCCTCTCGCCGTTTTCATTCAGGGAGTAATACAGCTCCTCATGACCGTCAACCTCTGCTTGGAGGTCCTGGTTTAACATGAAGAGACATAAGATATAACTTCCATAAGGACGCTTCTGATTTCCTTGGTCATTTTTACGTTTCAATTCGGACCCTCTACTGACATTCTATGATAAGTGTACAATTAATCTAATTAATCAGAACTGGTAGGTTTTTATGCGATTACTTTTACCTCATATAATAGGTAACAACATGAGCAAACAATATATTGCAGAAATAATGAAGTAACATCTCACTACATCAACCAAGGAGTTCAAGTCTGGATCCCCCAAATGGAAAATGAAATGAAGATGGCGAGTTAAAGGACAACTCAGCCCAAAATAGACTTCTCCATACTAATAATAATAATAATACATTTTATTTGTATTGCACTTTACATTTAAAAAAAAATCTCAAAGTGCTACAAAATTCATAGTTAAAACAGAACTAAACTTCATACTAAATTGAAATCTGACAAAGGAAAATATTTTAGTTATAAACATAATTGAATTAAAATAGTTGAGACAAAATTTTTGTTTTCTTTAACAGTGTACAAAAGTATCTTGTTTTAAATGACAAGTTTTTTTTAATCAGGAACATGTTAAATGTATGTGTGACTGTAAATTACCCAATCTTTCATTCTCATAATTTTAAATAAGGGGCAAGGGAGTAACCAGAACCACCTGTTTAACAGCACAGTCTCACCCACCACCCAAAAACATAGGGCTATATCAGAAATGACCATGACATTATTTAAACAAAGTGAAAAATATCCTGACAGTATGTCAGAGTGAAATAACCTGTCTTTTAATTATATTTTGAACCCTCTGTGTTCATAATTTTTTATTTTGTACCATCAATCTTGGCAAATTGAATAAAGAGATTGGAGCCACTTCGGCTAAGAAGTCCAAAAGAAATTCACAGTTGAAAAAAATCAGAGCTTCTCTTTACATTTGTGTTGCAAATTCCAATCAGGGACTAGATGTGGCTGAGAGCTGCAGTGTAGGAGGCAGCAAAGACCAGTTTTTAGAAATCAAAATGGAAGATAGAGAAGGGTGGAAGTGGAAAGTGGGGTTTATGGGTGGCTTTTAAAAAGGTCGTTATAATTAAGCCCTTTTTATCATCCTAACTCCAGCACAGACAATGACCATCTGCCGCCTTCTTTGTGCACTATGCCTGCCCAGCGGGCTTCTCCGTTGTACCGCTGTCCTCCTTCCATCTAGAGGCTAACCTTGGCCAACCACAGGCTCTACCAGCTTTGGCGCCATTTTCCCATAGGACTTCTCCAATGTACCGCTGTCCTCCTATCTTTAGAGCAGGCATGCCCAATGTCGTTCCTCAAGGAACGCCGTCCTGCAGGATTTAGAGGTTTGCTTGCTCTAGCACAGCTGATTTTCATTGATGGCTGATTAACAGGCATTTGCTGAACTGCAATCATCAGAATCAGCTGATGAATTATGATGAATTGGGAGAAAAATTTCTAAAACCTGCCAGACAGCGGTTCTTGAGAACCAACATTGGGCATGCCTGCTCTAGACGTTAGCCCTAACAGCTCTGGCCCGTCTTCCCCGTAGGACTTCTCCAATGTACTGCTGTCCTCCTCCCGACCAGCCCCTGCTTCCGCCCTGTTCTGGTGTTCTGTCTGTCCAGCAGACTTCATCGATCTTCTACTTAGCTCCATAGGGCGGATGGCTGTACCCAGTTCTGGTGCTCTCTCTACTGGTGTTCTGCAGTCCACCTCTCAGCTGCAGAACACCATCTCACCTTCTTTCTGCTGTCCAACGCGGGTCACTGGCCAGGAGAATTTCAAGGCAAGGAAGACGAAAACTGACAAAAAGTCATGAAACCACCCTTTTCGCGCCTTACCAAACTCAATTAGACCCAATGTAAGTCAGTCTTGCGATTATGAAGCAGGACAATGACCTAAAGAACCTTTGAACATAAAATCATAATTTAAACCCATTTTTTTGTTACATTTACATCTTAGGTATGTGTATTAAAGATGGTCTACTTATCTGAAGCATTTAAAAGAACAGAAGAAATGAGGTAAACACTTATTCAGACCTAATTATGACAGTTTTACCATTTTAAACATGTTTCTAGATGTCATATCTGTAATGTTCTGTTTTCCCTAAAGAGTGGAGGTTAATCTGTAGACTCCAACCTGAACTTGGTAGACTCTCCTACGCAGCATCCTGCAAACTCTCGCAACACGAAGAAGAAACTAGATGTTAAGATGCAGAGGGGTCGCCATGTTTTCCTCTTTTCTTTTTGAAACAAGCTCCCTGTGTGGCTGTATGAAAAATGCCCTCCGCTGAAACGTGAGCGAGACTCTTGGAGATACGAGGAGAAGGGAGGGTGGGTTCGGCAAAGGAAGAGGGAGAAAAAGAGACAAAGTTGGGCAGGGTAAGTTAGTGAGAACACAGAGTGGGTGAGGAGTAGATAGGAGGAGGGAAGAGGACATGAAAGCAAGAAGAAAACGATGAGTGAGCTCGTTTTCCAATTAAACCTTATCTGCGTGTGGCGTTGTAGCCCCGGAGAGAGTGTGCGCACTCTCTGGATGCTACAGCTGCCATAATAATTGGACACAGAAGACTATCTCAGTGCTGCACACACAGCACTGCCTGTTGGACTGACAGAACTCCTGATGTGTGCGTGAAGAGGGATTAAAAGCAGAAATTTAGTGTTTCAAATTTGCTTCTCAAGATGCGACGTGCAAGTGTTTCCGAGCTTTAAGCACGCCAACAAAGAGATGGTGTCAGGGTCAGAGTATGTCCTCTCTGCAGACAGAGGCCACCATTCAACACCCACGATGCAGCGGGGGAAAACTTTCCATACGTCAGGCAGGCCGTGAGCGACCAATGAAACCTCTTAGTGCTTCCGAATCAGCATTGCTGTCATACCAAGCAGGGCAGAGAATTGTGTTCTTGTTTTTATGCTTTCCTATCTTTTTTTTTTTCGCAGCATGACTTCCTAATCAACCACCGGGCTGAGCTGTGAGGACATTATCTTCTGGGATGGCGTTTGATGTCAGCTTTATGAGCAAAACGAACTAAAATGAACTCAAATCAAACTGCATATTTAAAGTTTTGCCACATATTCTCAATTAGGATGACGTCTGGCGTTTGACTAGGCCATTCTGGCACTAAAATCTTCACATTAGGGCCTACTGTGTTAGAACAAATGGTCTCGTTCAGAGCCCTCCATCCAAAAATATTGATGGAAACTGAAGTGGAAGAAGAAACTGTGGTAGGAAAAGGTGCAAAAAAGAAAAGTTCAGTTAAAGTGCAACTCTGTTCAGCACATTAAGAGCCACTATAATGAAGGTTTATCCATAAACTCGTCTATTTCCTGGTGACAAACCACTCCTGGATCAGAACACCAGAAGCATCATGAGAAGCTGGAGTGCTGCTCGATGGTGCAAAGTCTCTAGTTTCAGAGGAGAGCTATGCTATTTGCTGGTGTTGTTCCACTGTTGGTTAAAAGGTCTACAGTCACCAAAACCAGAGGCCCATACCACAAGCTAAACAAAAACAGATTACTTCCATCCTATCCTGTCTAACCAATCTGCAACAATGGCAATCAGGATCAGTGGTACCACGAAGCTGGCCATCAACTCGCTAACTCAATCCAGCTTTAAATGATCATGGATTAGCACATACAGGTGCTGGTCATAAAATTAGAATATCATGAAAAAGTAGATTGATTTCAGTAATTCCATTTAAAAAGTGAAACTTGTATATTATATTCATACATTACATACAAACTCATATATTTCAGATGTTTATTTTGTTTAATTTTGATGATTACAAATGACAACAAATGAAAATCTCAAATTCATCATATCAGAAAATTAGAATATTACTGAAGACCAATAAAAACAAAGGATTTATAGAAATGTTGGCCAACTGAAAAGTATGAACATGAAAAGTATGAGCATGTACAGCACTCAGTATTTAGTTGGGCCTCCTTTGGCCTGTATTACTGCAGCAATGCGGCGTGGCATGGAGTCGATCAGTCTGTGGCACTGCTCAGGTGTTATGATAGCCCAGGTTGCTCTAATAGTGGCTTTTAGCTCTTCTGAATTGTTGGGTCTGGTGTATTGCATCTTCTTCTTCACAATACCCCATAGATTTTCTATGGGGTTAAGGTCAGGAGAGTTTGCTGGCCAATTAAGAACAGGGATACCATGGTCCTTCAACCAGGCACTGGTATCTTTGGCACTGTGTGCAGGTGCCAAGTCCTGTTGGAAAATGAAATCTGCATCTCCAAAAAGTTGGTCAGCTGCAGGAAGCATGAAGTGCTCTAAAACTTCCTGGTATGTGGCTGCGTTGACCCTGGACCTCAGAAAACACAATGGACCAACACCAGCAGATGACATGGCACCCCAAACCATCACTGACTGTGGAAACTTTACACTGGACTTCAAGCAACGTGGATGAAGTGCCTCTCTTCTTTTCCTCCAGACTCTGGGACCTTGATTTCCAAAGGAAATGCAAAATTTACTTTCATCAGAGAACATGACTTTGGACCACTCACCAGCAGTCCAGTCCTGTTTCTCTTTAGCCCAGGCAAGACGCTTCTGACGCTGCCTGTGGTTCAAGAGTGGCTTGACACAAGGAATGCGACAGCAGAAACCCATGTCTTTCATACGTCTGTGTGTGGTGGTTCTTGAAGCACTCACTCCAGCTGCAGTCCACTCTTTGTGAATCTCCCCCACATTTTTGAAGGGGTTTTGTTTCACAATCCTCTCCAGGGTGCGGTTATCTCTCTTGCTTGTACACTTTTTTCGACCACATCTTTTCCTTCCCTTCGCCTCTCTATTAATGTGCTTGGACACTGAGCTCTGTGAACAGCCAGCCTCTTTAGCGATGACCTTTTGTGTCTTGCCCTCCTTGTGCAAGGTGTCGATGGTCGTCTTTTGGACAACTGTCAAGTCAGCAGTCTTCCCCATGATTGTGTAGCCTATAGAACTAGACTGAAAGACCATTTAAAGGCTTTTGCAGGTGGTTTGAGTTAATTAGCTGATTAGAGTGTGGCACCAGGGGCCATCAATTTTGAACCTTTTCACAATATTCTAATTTTCTGATATGATGAATTTGAGATTTTCATTTGTTGTCATTTGTAATCATCAAAATTAAACAAAATAAACATCTGAAATATATGAGTTTGTATGTAATGTATGAATATAATATACAAGTTTCACTTTTTAAATGGAATTACTGAAATCAATCTACTTTTTCATGATATTCTAATTTTATGACCAGCACCTGTATAAAGGGGCGGGTTCAAGTTAGCAGACAAAAATCACACACATGACTGCAGTAGGGAGAGCGCCGTATTTCTCCTGTGAGGAACAGAAACTCGTCTTAAAGAAACACGAAGAGAAAACACATGTCTTAATGAAAAGTCAAACGCAGTGGCGGCATGAAAGAGACACCAAATGAATTGGCAAAGGATTGCTGACTAATTTAAAGAGCAAGTTACACTTCAGCGTCATTTAACTCGGACTGTATCCCAGTCACTGTACTGCATATTAATTGCGTTCCCCTCAGGAGTGAAGAAGAGTTGGGAGCAGATAAAAAACAAAACATAATTTCATCTGGTTAGAGGGAGTTTTTAAATCAATAATGTTTGGACCAGAATAAAGCTGGAAGCTTATGGCACGATTACATCATATTAATAGAAGAAGGGATCAGTCTGAGTGAAATCAGCCTGATTTTTTGAGCTGTGTCAGAACTGTAACGGGACATGCGGCATGCAGGTGGCGCAGTGGTTAGCGTGCACAACCCATGTATGGACGCCTTAGTCCATGACGGAGGCGACCCGGGTTCCAATCTGGCCTGTGGTCCATTACCGCATGTCTCTCCCCCTCTCTCATACCCCCTTTCCTGTCAGCCTACTGTTGAAGAAAGGAGCCACTAGTGCCGTAAAGAAAAAGAAGTTGGCGGGACAAATGGTAAAAATCTACTCTGCTTTTAATATAGTGAAAGTCCTCAAACGCAGCCTGGCGATTTACCATTTTTCCTTCTCATTAATATGACTACAGCAAACAAGAAGCATATACAGTGAGTAAAATAAGTATTTAAAAACCCTGCTATTTTGCAAGTTCTCCCACTTCAGAAATGATGGATGGTTCTGAAATTGCCATCGTAGGTGCATGTCCACTCTGAGAGACAATAAAAAAAAAAGAAAACCCAGAAATCAAAATGTATGATTTTGTAACTATTCATTTGTATTATACAGCTGCAAATAAGTATTTGAACACCTGTCTATCAGCTAGAATTCTGACCCTCAAAGACCTGTTAGTCTGCCATTAAAATGTCCACCTCCACTCTATTTATTCTCCTAAATTAGATGCACCTGTTTGCGGTCATTAGCTAAATAAAGATACCATTCCATCTCATATAATCAGTAAGAATCCAACCACTAACATGGCCAAGCCCAAAGAGCTGTCCAAAGACACTAATGACAAAGTTGTAGACCTCCACAAGGCTGGAAAGGGCTACGGGGAAATTGCCAAGCGTATTGGTGAACAAAGGTCCACTGTTGGAGCAATCATTAGAAAATGGAAGAAGCTTAACATGACTGTCAATCTCCCTCAGACTGGGGCTCCATGCAAGATCTCACTTCAGGGGGTCTCAATGATCCTAACAAAGGTGAGAAATCAGCCCAGAACTACAGGGGAGGAGCTGGTCAATGACCTGAAGATAGCTGGGACCACTGTTTCCAAGGTTACTGTTCGTAATACAGTAAGGATGGTAGCAAAATGGTTTGGGGGGGTTTTCTGCACATGGGATAGGGCGACTGCAATGGCATAACTATCTGTAAGCAGAGACTGCAGTTGCTTAGGGGCCCACAATCTCTTAGGGGTCCTGTCACTGACATCTGGTTGGCCCCCTACGCAATTTTGGACTAGGACGTCTCTTTGCAAATGTAATGGTGCGAAAAATTCCTCTTAAACCCAAATAAAACTGAGTTGACTGACCGGACCTTATTTCTACCGCAACACATGCCAGATTTCCAACATGATGCTGGGTGGAGCATTTTCTAGGGTTCAGATCAATCCTGAAAGCTAGCGTGCCCCGGAGCAGGTTTCCCCTTTAGGGTAAGTCACCATGGCAACCAGCGATGCTAACCCAGTAATCCTGCTTCGTGGTACAGGCCCCTGGTTTTATGTCCATATTATCATGTTTGATTGGTCAATTTTCCACAGAAACTTTGTTCATTGACAGTGAATCAAAGTTAGCCAAACAAACATAATTAAACAATAAAAATCAACCATCTTGAATAAATAGTACTCTGAATATAAAACAATAGAGGAAAGACAAGAAGGAGTCTTATTTAAAAGCAGCGCTGCCACATGCTGCCCTCCCGCCATGCTGTCCTTGCAAAATAATTTTCTCTCTGCCCACACAGCTCGACAGCCGAGTGCTTCTCTATTATTAATGCAGGGGCATTTTTTTCTCTTTTATATATAAACATAGAAAATATGCTGCACTAATATCCTGACTCATCCAAAGGCAATCAGTCATCACCTAATGACGGCTGACAGGTGTGTTGAAAAACAGATAATCCTGCTAAAGCCTGTATCTGGGGGGGATAACACGTAAAACTATGGTGGATGGAGAACTGAAACTAATTTAGTTTGTAGAAACATCTTAGAAGCAGCTTTTTTTCGCCCTGATTAGATCCTCCACTGATAACATGTGGAGCTGTGTTGATCTTTATTGCTTTAAGGAGACTGTAAATAACCAGGTTATTGAGTTACATCCTAAATCTACGTGACCAGGAGCCCCCCTCCCACAGCGGAGATCAGCAGCCGGTGGAGCAGGATTATAAGCCTTAATGAAGAGGACATGTGTCCCTACCTTCCACTGAGCCAGCAGCCTCTTGGCAGCCTCAGGCTGCTGCTGCAGCCTCTCCTTGTTAGTGGCATCTATTAAAACATTGCAGGTGGTCTCCGCCTCCGTCAGCCAGCTGAGGAACTTCTCCAGATCCAGGTAGAACTGTTGGAGCAGCTTTAGACCAGCTTCCACGGCTGCTTCTCGGTCTGAAACTCTGGGAATGCAGACAGTTCAGAGAAATTAGGACTTTACTCAAAAGAAGCATTTTTATGAATCTTATTATTAAATTTAACACACAGCGGCTGAGTTTTGCCTGTTTTATATGTACTTTTTTTTTCTTTGTGTCCCATTCTGCCAATATACACTACCGTTCAAAAGTTTGGAGTCACATTGAAATGTCCTTCATTACTATTTAATGAAGATGCCAGTTGGGGACCTGTGAGGCGTCTGTTTCTCAAACTAGAGACTCTAATGTACTTATCTTCTTGCTCAGTTGTTCAACGCGGCCTCCCACTTCTTTTTCTACTCTGATTAGAGCCTGTTTGTGCTGTCCTCTGAAGGGAGTAGGAAATCTTCAATTTCTTAGCAATTTCTCACATGGAATAGCCTTCATTTCTAAGAACAACAATAGACTGTCGAGTTTCAGATGAAAGTTCTGTTTTTCTGGCCATTTTGAGCGTTTAATTGACCCCAAAAATGTGATGTTCCAGAAACTCAGGCTGCTCAAAGGAAGGTCAGTTTTGTAGCTTCTGTAACGATCTAAACTGTTTTCAGATGTGTGAACATGATTGCACAAGGGTTTTCTAATCATCAGTTAGCCTTCTGAGCCAATGAGCAAACACATTGTACCATTAGAACACTGGAGTGATAGTTGCTGGAAATGGGCCTCTATACACCTATGTAGATATTGCACCAAAAACCAGACATTTGCAGCTAGAATAGACATTTACCACATTAGCAATGTATAGAGTGTATTTCTTTAAAGGTAAGACTAGTTATAGTTATCTTCATTGAAAAGTACAGTGCTTTTCCTTCAAAAATAAAGAAATTTCAATGTGACCCCAAACTTTTGAACGGTAGAGTAGCTCTGGGAATCGATGTCCCAAACTAGATAACAGCCTAACAGATTTGCTTTTACAAGTGGACCATTATGGTCGTTGCCTTCATGTTCAGCTTGGCAATTATATATGAAACTTTATTGAAAGTTAGAAGAAGTAAGGGGGGAAAGAAACATAAGAGGTAGAAAAGAGAGGGGAGAGGAAAGAGACGACAAAAACAAAGAAACCAAAACAAAACGGCAAAAAACAACACAAAAGATATACAGTAACTGTGGGGAAAAAGTAGTGGCTTATTGTTTGGAAGATACGGTAAATTGATTTAACATTGGTTTTATGTTTGATAGTCATATGATCTTATAGGTAATGAAAAATGTTTTATTTGAATAAAAAAAAAATCTTATTTTTTAATCCAGCTGGCCATGTCCTGCCATGCATCATGCCATCTTCCAGATCAGCTTTCTCACAGCCAAACAGACTCTTGATGTGTTTCCATGGTTACCGTTTGTTAATGTGCGTCCACGTGGCCATCATGCTGTCGTTGACTTGGGTGACCTTGTGCGTGTCGTCGTTGGCGTACAGCGTCAGCAGTTTGTCGGCCAGCGCGTTCGTTTCATCCACCTGACCCTGCCACTGCTTCAGGTCCTTCATGAAAGCCTGCAGAGGAACGGCAAACAAAAAGAAGTGATCTTATTACTGACGCCAACAGACCGGCTAACCGTCCCAACGTTCATGATCTTCACCCTCAGATCTGCGTGTTGTTTCTTCAGCGCGTCCGCCGTGTACGTGATCTCCTGCCATGATTCCAGCCTCCCGCTAGCCTGTTTGATCAGATAGTCCGCCTCCTTCTTTGCGTCAAGCCAGTTTGTGGAGTCCTGCAGCATGTTGAGGATTTGCTTGAGTCTGTCTGACAGTTTGGTCTGAGAGTCCTCCCAGTGGGTCTGGAGCTTTTCAACTGTGGAGGAAAAAGGATGAGACACTAGTAGAAAAATTTAATTTTTTCGTTTTCATAAGGCTTACTGCGTTCGGTGATAGCGTTGCGTGTGTCCTGGTTGCTGGTCTTGTTCTTCAGATTTTGTGCTGCTGTAACTTGTTTCTCCAGTAGAGGGTGACGTTTGTCGAGCTCCTGCAGAGATGCCTGGAAGCAAGTGACTCAATTTCATGTTTGAAAAAAGGAAACTTATTCATGCCCCCTTGCATGTTCCACCCAGTCGATGCTGTGATACCCTCACCTTCAGTTGGCTTATATTGTCGTTGATGTCGTCCAGGTCAGCCACCACCACTCGCTTGTTTTGAACCATGTTATCCAGCATCTTCAGCCAATCTGTGAGCTCAGCCCAGGATTTGTTGAACTGCTGCAGCGCAGCTGATTCGGCCTGGGAGCTTCCCGCATGGGCTTCATCTGGAGAAAGATTAGGAGATGTTTCAAAAGGAGGAGAATTAACCCTTACCATCAATGAAAAGCTCAGGCAACAGCAGCGCTAATCAGAGAGCTGGATAACTCTGGATGGGCTACAGAGCCTGAAGCAAACTACTAAGAAAACCTTTAGGAGGGACGTTTGCTACAAACCATGTAGGAGGAACATCTTACCCGAAGAAGAATGTTCTCTATTCAAACAGAAACTGAGTTTATGTGGAGGAAACTAGAACTCAATCCGGACACGTCATTTTAAGGTGAAACTCAGTGGTGGCATGCTGTGGTTTGTTTAGCAACAAAATGAGTTTTTAAAGTAAATACGGATTACAGATGAAGGACCCTTAATGTACAACTAATATCAACAGGTTTTGTTTTTTACAAATATTTTGGCTTCTGACTCACAGAATGGTACCAGAATGATCTCAGAACCCAAACTTTTGGTTGGAATACAAACATTTCTAGAAAAAAACAGCATCAGCAATCAGTCTATTTGGTTTAGTCCATTTAATAATAATGTTCTGATATCTTAAAAAATAAATGCATCATGACCATTTTTATTATTTAATTTCTATAAAGGATCTCCAGGCACCATACTTGTATATCTGGGAACCCAACTTTGGGAGTCAAATTGGTCCCTGATATGCACTGCTGAGTCTTTGGGTCCGTTGTTTTTGAGCTTTTTCTCCCCCCGTTTACATGATAAAAATGACAGAGCAATAACAAATATTACAAAAAAAACATTTCCAACAAATCTAACAAAAGATATTAACAACAGAAACGGTGATGTCCTGCATGTAGTAAATAAAGAAGGAAAAAAAATGATGAAAATTGTTTTGATTTTGCCTCTTTATCTTGTTAAATAACTCACTGCTTGCATCAACACTCTCTAGTGAGGAAAACTGACTTTTATTGAATTAGTACCGATTTCTTAGACTTACAGGCTTTTTTGGAGACGAGCAGAGCAGCCGTCCTTTCCTTATGCTTCTGCAGCAGCTCCAGAATCACCGTCCAGTCCTCCCTTAGCTTGCCGTATTTCCCCTGCAACACATGAATAATACACATGAAGCAAGCTAACAGTGGCGCTCAGCATGAGCGTCTATGAATGCCATCAAGGGATGAGAACAATCAACTGACAAAATCATAGAAGTTTCATGGAAAAACCAGGTGATCACATCATGTTTTACTGACCTTATCCGGCCATCCTGCAGGCGTCTCCTTGTACAGACGATCCGCTCGCTCCAAAACAAACTCCACCTCTGGCTTCTTCAGCTGAACGTCCTCAATAAGCTGTCACAACAGAAAAGTACAAACTTATTTCAAATGAAAACAACATCTCCTTGACATTTGTTGGCAACATTTAGTAAGAAAGGCATATAAAAAACAAAAAGAGGGCGTACTCTGGGTGGTGGTTCCTCAGGACTTTGCTCCAGCTTGGCTCTGGTACTTGATGCCCAGGCTGACAGGTCCTCCAGCTCACCCTGGACCTTCAGAAGCTCCTTTAATAGACCTTCAATCTCCAGCTGACGCTCAGGCAGAGCCTTGGACACCTAAAGGAAGACTCCCTGTTAGTACTATTGACAGATCAACACCGGCTTCATTAAAACAAAGCGGTAAACAATCTGACAGCATGTTGGACCGACATACCCCGTCTGTTACTGATAGTTTAACATCTCATCTTTTATTTTTTTAGAAACCTAATAGGTTTATGTTCAGTTATATCTTAATATATATATATATATATATATATATATATATATATATGATATCAAGTTTAATAATGTGTAAGAAAAAATATTTTATCGTTATATTGTAAAAAATATTAAGGTCTCTAATTTAATCCTCCTGACAGAAGAGAGGGAGAAAAAAAAAGTCCACTTATCAGTTAATTGTTAGCTGATTGATAACATCAGTGGAGTTTAGATGAATTCATGAATGAATAACTTGCATCCCCGGTTTGGATCCCAGATCTCTTCAGTTCAGCAGTGACGCCGTGACATTGAGGCTCCCGGCCGCTTACCTGAGCCCAGCGAGTGTTGATTCCTCTGATGTCTTTGTGCCTCTCAGCAGGAAGGGTTAGCATCTTATGCTTGGCATTCAGATAATCCATCGTCACCTTCTTCCCAGGAAGCTCCTCCACACGCGTCTTAAACACAACAGGGAAAAAAATCCTTTAATTTAGCTACTGCAGCTCAGAGGCCAGAACAGTTGCTTGTGGAAGGATACAGACCTTTCTAGACCTACCGACACATGGATGCACCATATTGGCCCGAATATAAGACAAAGTGTGAAAATGTGGGGTTGTTTTATAATCGGGGTCTAACCATTTATACAGGCTGACAGTTGTCTGGAGTCGCTACATGAACCTAACAGCAGAGGGCGCCAGTTTTTCCTAAAGCCAATGACCTGACTGTGGCTGGGGTCATCTTTCTATCACAACAGAGAAGAAGCGATAAGGCTGCTACAGATGGAGAATTACAGCCCAGAACAGATTGGATCAAAAGTCAGACAACTTTGGAGACATTTGAGGAGGAGTTATTTTTTAAATAATGGTATTTAACATAGTGGAGGGATCATACAACTCATAGGCAGCAAAGAAATACAGAGTTGGAGAGTGCAATGTCAGAAGATGGAACGTTCAAAAGCACCTGAAAAATGCAAACAGCAAAATAAAACCTTATTAAAAAACTGCAGAGCTGCAGGGTGACAGTTGGAGTGACAGCGACGTCTGTGAGTAAAAGCCTCACGCAGGTTTTTGAGACGGTCGGTGAGGAAAGTTCAGATTGCAATCGAGTTGAAGTGTTGCAAGATTTCAATTAAATGTGTCATTACTATGTTTTTTTATGCTTTAATTGCACTAATCTTTCAATAAAATATTATTTAAATGAAATTCTTAGCACTTCAGTATAAAATTGTTTATTTAAACCAAATAAATTTGTTTTTTGTCTTTTTGTTTTGTTCCTAAAAACTGGTCCTAAAAGAAGAGGGTGTCGCCTTATTATCGGGGTCGTCCTATATTCGGGTCAGTACAGTATATCCTTTCAAACCCTGATGCCATCAGAGCTACGATATCCGACAGATTTAACTTAATATTCTAAATAAAAAGGCATTATTCTTGGGATTAGATATTTATTCATGCTACCTGGACTTTGTTTAAAGTGTCTCTGATGTGCTGCGGTTCTGCAGGGTGTAGAGGGATGCTCAGCACACCCTCCGCCTTATCCAGCCAACCCAGCATGGAGCCCATATCCTCCTCCAGCTCTGCGGCGGCTGTACGAGCCTCAGATGACCTGCAGGAAACAAAGAAAAAAAAAGACAGCTCTTCATTTGTGTTGCTGCATTTTTTTCCTCCACTTTCTGAATCTAGAATGATGGTTGTGAGAGTTGGGATGGGCAGGACCAGACCCCCACCTCCTCTTACGCTCCCGGAGTTCCTGACAGATGCTGGCCCAGCGAGTGTTGAGTAACTTCAGCTGCGATCGGAGGCGTAAGGCATCGTCTGGTGTGCTCATCTGGCTGATTTCCTCACCTGTAGAGTTCACTCTGCCCAACACCACTTCCTGGACAGGTATATCCTCTACCAGGTCCTATATACACAAACACACACTAGTTTTCAGCAGTTCTGAATCTAATTATTAGATATATTCCAAGTGTTTATTTTTGCTCATTCTAATATATACTCAAAGCATCAGTGCGTAACTTTTAATCAGTATGTTTTCAATTGGCTCAAAGGTCTGTAGCTTTATAAAGCTTTTTAGAACATATCTTGTATTTACAATCAGATAAAAATCCAAAGAGCCCATTTATTTGCATATTTATCGGCCTCCAGCTGCTGGTTCTGGTTAAAGTGGAGAAAATGGAGGATTTGGTTTTACCCTGAGTTGCTGTCGGTGGGCTGCTGGCTCGCTCTCACACAGTTTCAGCGTGTTCTCGCCATTGTTCAGCCACTCATCCACGGCCTTGTGATCCGACACAAACTTCTGCCACTTGGAGCTGCAGTCCTTCCAACGCCTTTACAAACACATGCAGAGCAGATGGGTGATAATGATACCAGTTATAAATAATCAGAGTATTAATTATTCTGTTTAAAAAGTTTAACACAATAGGAAACAATAAATAAATCAATACAATCAAACTTTGATAGTCGTTTTTATCTTCTCTGCTCAAAAATACATTTGACCATTTTCGCCCCTTCACTATTAGATTAGCTGCTTTATGAGATCATTATCTGATTATTTAAACTTTTCTGAATAATTCTTTGGTATGAAGAAGATTTCATGGTCATCTCAGAGGACGAGATCCTACCAGGCTGGCCTGGACATTGGGCTTACAGGGCAGATGATAATTTTTGGGTCAGCCCACTGCTGTCATAATTTGATCAAAAATGCATTTATAATTAGTTATTTCATATATTAATCTATATAAAGGAATGTATTTGTTAAAAAATGAATAGGGTTTAAGTCTGAATTATGTCCACAGAAGAAGCGAAACAAAAAATGCTGTCCTTTATTCATTGTAAACATTTAACAAATCCTTTTTATTTCACTTGATTAGGGCCCTGTCACACCTTACCGATTTGGCCAGCGTGTGCCTGACGTCCCAGAATCCCCTAAAACGTTTGCATACACTGAACTTTCTATGTATTTTATCAATTTTGGGCTTATAAGAAGCGCATTTATGACGAGTCCAGAACTTATGTCCAATGACAGCCTAGCTTTTGCATAAAGCACGGCAGCGTAATGCCCATGAAATGATGCATAAGGGATTTGATCGCGGTATTAAACTAGCTGCTGTCGCCCGCCTGCGGGAAAAAAAAAAAAAATAAATAGAAAAAGAAAGAAGGTTAGAAGTTACAGCTTTAAACAGTAGCTCTAAGTGGTTGTCTGGAACACGTCAGATACGTTGATATGCATTGGATATAAGTTCTTGATAAGTTACGCATATGTTAATTATAGGTTTTGGATAAGTTGGACGCCACAACTTATGAGTAACTTAAACTTAACGTATGTCAATGATCAGATAACTTACCTGTAATTTATGGCCCACATTTGAACATATGCTGGCATACGCCTGGAAATTTTGAGCATGCTTAATATTTCTCGACATAACCTATCTAACATATGCCAGCGTGTTTACCAGATATTTCGTACGTCAGGCATACGCTGGTTTAAATCGTCAAGGTGTGACAGGAGCTTATATTTCTTTCTCTATACATTTTATTTTGAAACCTCTCAAAGTTTGTACATGTCCTATGGTCTATAACTAATCATGGAGGGCCGCCATGAATAAAAATGTGGGCCATTTTATGGACCCAGTCCAGCCCTGGATCCTACAGTAGAATGTCACCATCTTTTTTAAACACATTGAGTCTGCATACATAACACTTCTTATTAGCTGCATGAGCTTTATTAGCAAGCCAGTTTAAATGTGCTGCTTTGTTTCAACATGCTGTAATTTTGTCATTCAAACCCCTTTTATGTAAAATTAGGTGAGGATGGAGAGAATGAGAGCAAATAACATCTTTCGTAAATGGAAGTTTTAAAAAAATGCAATCCAGAAGTACTTTCTTGTATTTTTTTTCCCAAATTCAATTAATGTTAATTTAAAAAATATATATATTTTCCAAGTTATTTCTGCACAATTGATTCTTTTCTTTGTTTTTCACATTAGGTAAAGACATTACTGTCTTCACCTCTGGAGGAGGGCTTTCCTGTGGAGTGAGGAGCAAAGACGCATATTTATTTGTCTGCTGGACGTTAGCAACACATGTTATGAACTAGCGTTTGTTTTTAGCTTAAAGTAGAGAATGTGATCTGTAAAACAAAAAATACAAAATCTGTAAAAAAAAAAAAACTAATAATAAAATATAGAAGAAAACAAATATATATATAGAATTAAAAAAAAATAATTAAATCAAAATACTTTTCAACTTTTCCAAATTTCAGTTTACAAAATGTGTTTTTAAATTTTTCATTTACAACAAAAAGGTGTTCTTAGCTTGCAACAATAATGGAACAAAATTGACGCCATAGGTGGCATGTTAAAATGGCAAATAGGCTTTTATACGTAAAAATAAAATCTTTTAAGTAACCTATTAACTATCTTTTCCTATATCCTAGCGTAAGTCTAGGATATCCTCCCTTCAGGTCTCATATTTCCTCTTACTTCAGTCTGTCCTTGTAGAGCTTATTGAGTTTTTCCCAGTTATTACAGAGCAGGGAAGCCGTCTCCTGAACTCTGTGGCTCTCCAGAGGTCGAGAAGCCATCACCATTTCTTCTCTGTGGGCCAGGGCTCTCTCCACAGGTCCGTGCAGTTTATCAATGTTCTCCTTCACATCCTGCAAATAAAGAAGCACACGGGACATTTTGGGGATTAAAGCAAACAGACCAGTAAACCTGTGAATATTTAAAGACCCCTGAAGCATTCCTCAGCAAATGTATTTGCAGTCAGAGTGAATAATGAACTACAACTCTAATTATTTTAAATTGTTAAAACAGATCACTTGTTTTCTTATTTTTATTTAGGCAACTTTTTAATATGGCTGGATTAAAACATGACCACCATGATAAGCATAGAGATACAGCGGCTATCAATACATGCAGGCATCCCAAATGGATGTTATTTGTGTTGTGTTTTTATACTTTATTACCCATCTTGCAAGGATAAACTAGCTTTGAAGTTTTTGGATGAGACTTTGTATCTGTGATTGACAAAAAGCAGCTTACAGCAAAGCCTGGGAAAGAATGAGAAAAACTCACCCTCGGCACGGACAAGGCAGAGAAAATCACAGTGATAGTAAAGAAGAATAAAACTCATTAGCCACTTTAATGGTGGTTAATGTAGGATCTCAGACATGAACAGGGGACTAGGACTGATGTTACACATTTGGAGTACTTATAATAAATACAATTCATTTTAAGCTCTACAATCTGGTATTTTTCTTAACATGCTACTTCTTTTATTTTGGGTTTTTCCGTAATCTGCATACGACAAAAATAAATGAATTAAAGGTCTTTGTATTTCTTTTCTTCATTCATTCATTCATTTATTTGAATGTTTCTTTAATAGGGCAGGTTTAGGGTCTGGTTTTGGCCTGAGGGTTTAACCATAAACACTTTCAATCACTGATAAAAGAGACATCTATCTCTACCGCTATGTTAAGAGAACCATATATATTTGTGCTGGTAACTTTAACATGAAGTAAAAAAAAAAAAAAGCTTTTTTTTTTTTTTATGACAGACTAAATAAGATTTTTTTAACTAATAACATGTTGATACAATGCAAAATAAGTAATCTTTTCTTAAAATAAGTGCATTTTTCTCTTGAACTGAGGAGGTCAGTGAGACCCTTTGCCAATGGAACAAAACTATTTAAATTTAAAATAAGAAAAAAACAATTGCATTGTCTCATGTCAAGTGCATATCGTCTATCTTGTTTCAAGAGTAAAAATATCTCAAAGCATTGGCAAATCATCTTATTTACCTACTCAAGTTAAGGATAAATACACTTAAATTAAGACATTTTTAATTATTTATAGATTGCTTTTGCAGTGTAGATCATGTAGAAACATTCATTCTGAATGTTGACAGCATGTTGTATGATAGGGCCTATATTCCTACTTGGTAAGTTAATCAATTCCAGCAGCATCAATGTATAAAATGAAAAATGCATTATCTCAGGGTTAAAAAAATGTGTTTCCACATACAATTTACTGCTTGAGAGTTTTGAGTCAAATGTAAAAGATTTTCAATTCTGCTATCTAGTTTTCAGGGTTTTAAATACGGCTATTTTGAGATAAACATCTTATGCAGTGGAGTACATAAAGGATTTCAAATTTCTAAAATATTTATAGAAAAAATGTTTGCGGAAACTACTGTTTTTTTTCCTATTTCTTACATTTCCTTTTGATTTTAACCTGACATAAGAAATAAAAAAAATAATTTAAACTGGAAGAAAGAAAACATTAAAATTCAAAATGTATTGAAAAAAAAGAATGAAACAAATTTTCAGTGAACTATAGTTTATCTGTGAGGCAGTGCTGACCTTCAGGCATTGCTCTTGCTGGGGCAGGTTATAATAGGCTGCAGGCCAGTATTCAGGAGAGTTCAGCTTGAAGTCCGTCTCTGACACCGAACGCAGCAGCGCCTGGAGCTCTGTCAGGTACTCCTGGTTGCACACCCACAGGCAACAGAACACAAAGCCAGATCAGGGAAAAAAAACAGAAATGTTAGGACTCCAAAAATAGACAAATATGTTACATCATACTTGGTATTTTCTGCACAGGTAACACTATAGAAGCTAATATTTTGATCTGAAACCCATTGGGGGCCTAACTTCCAAATTACAATGATGCAAAAGTTTTTACTGTTTATAATAATAGCAATTTAGTACATTAACATTAGATTTTATTTATTAAACAGGCTCCCACAATCATTGATAAGATTAAAGAGTAAATCCTTTGAGATTCAGATAGAGCACAGGCATAAAATTAATAAAGAATTTCCACAGGATGATGACAAATTATATATTTTGGTTTTCAGCTGTGCTTGTGCGCCCTTTCTTTTAGTGCCGCTCTGGGCAACTGCCAAAATTCCCAATTTATCACCATAAAAGAAATTTAAAAAAGGATCTGAAAATGAAGCCCCAGATAATTTCAGACCTCTAAGATACCATGTGATTTATATTTAAATTTTTTTGAATATTTCACAGCACTTCAAATGAACTGAAACGGCCAAGTTCGACCAGCATCAACTTTTTTCTCTCAGAATGACGCACGGGGGCATCAATCAAAATAACATTGCAAATGAAGCTTGTTGCTACAGCGAAGGGAAACTGGGATGTAAACACTCGCCTGTTCCTTTCTCCTCATTGTTATGCTCCCATCGCAGGCCAATCACTTGCCCTCCGATTAAAGGAGACTTTTTAATCAGCCCAAGATGAAACGCTCTTAATGACATTATTAGCGGCCTCGCAATGAGTTGATTGCTGCCGGTTGTCGAGTGGGTGAGACGGAGTCTCAATCATGACATCTTTTGCCAGGACAGGCAAGTTTTTTTCCCCTTCAAAACTTCTATTTATTTCCATCTAATTGTCAAACTACGTTAAGTTTGGGGATTTGACTAAGAAATTAGATTTTTCTGCTACACTGAACACAGGTGCATCTCAATACACTGGTTTATCACCAAAAAGTTTTTGGAAAAAGGACAAATCATATTTTCTCAACTCCACCCACTAAGGCTGATTATTCTGGCTTACTTTTAATAAAACTATACAGTACAATGAGAAGACACTACAGTAGCTTTAATTGTTTAGCTGTACAATATTAGACAATATTTCATATATTACTCTTGGGTTTTAGTTTAGAGCCATTAGAGCAGTGGATTTAAACTCAGATCCATGAGGACTGGTATCCTGCAACTTTTAGATGTTTTACTTGTCCTACACACTTGAATCAAATGGCTTACTTATCTAACTAGCAGCAGTCAAACTCTACTAATGAGCTCATACTGAGACAGGGTCACAGCTAAAAGTTGAAGGAGATCGCCACTTTAGCAATGAGTTTAAACCCAAAGAATTATTTGGTTTTTCGTTTAGTTCTTTTTGCTAACGCAGGGGTCTTCAACGTTTTCCAAGCCAAAGACCCCCTAATTATAAATATTGCAGGAAATTGTGTTATATCAAACTGGTCCTATAGTCACTCTATTACAGATGGAGTAATGTAACGTTAGAAATTTCTCCCTGGGATTATTAAAGTATTTCTGATTCCTGGTTGATGGGGCAGGTGTTGTGAATGGAACGGTGCCCAGCTTTAAAGAGTCTGTGTGTCTCTGAATGTGTGCATTGATGACTGAAAGACATCTTCTGCCTCCATTTATCTGTTTACTACAGTGTTGAATCATGTTAATGTGGATTTAAAGACATTTCAATTAGTCGAAAAAAATTGCAAGGGGGAATATAAAAACAGTCTAATCAACCAAAACTTTGGCAGCCCCCATGCAGTACCTATGTGGACCCGTAGGGGTCGCAGACCCCCTGTTGAACACCTCCGAGCTAAAGGTTTTCCTACCACTGAGTTTTTCCATGAATACTCTTGGGTACGGTGTAGAGAACCAAATCTGCTTGGACCCTGACATTATGCTAAATGATTGGCTGAACATTGCCCCTTGACAAAAAACTTTGTGGTTCCCCAGGCAAAGATATTAACAGAATGCAGAGTCCGTGTATTGGTTGGGGAGCATCTGTAGTGTTAGCATGTCTAATGACGTATTATGTTTCACCTGATTGATAAAAAAAAAGCTGAAAAATATCTGTTTAAGGTGAACAAAGTAACTGTAGGACCATGATATAAAGGGGGAGAGCTGGGTAGCGCTGTGCTCGGTATCTAACAGGTTAGCCTCGTTTAGGCTACATTCACACTGCAGGCCTTGATGCTCAATTCCGATTTTTTTTTTATCCGATTTTTTTTGCGTTTCTGTTCACATTTCCAAATATATGCCACTTGTATGTGATCTCCTGTGTGAACTGCAATCATACAACGCAAGTGTCCCACATGACGTCACAGGCCAGCGTGCTCTACTGAAGCAAGCATGGATGGTAGTGCCGAACCGCATCTAGCGGTCTTTCCCAACCATAAAAACACAATCTTTTTAAAATGGTTAAACATAAATACTGCTCTCCACATCATCGTCTGCCATGGCTGTTGTTTTACTTGCCGCTTCTGTGTAGCAAAACCCAGAATAGTGAGCGGGTATTGAGTGTCGGGTATTAATGGCATTCAGGTCGGATGAATGCGACCTGGCCACATATGGGCCAAAAAAATCGGATCTGGGTCACTTCAGGCTGCTGTGTGAACATAGCCTTAGCTTGGTCAGTTAGCCACATTAAGTTACACTTCTTTTAACTTAGTTTTAACAACAATGGTTCATTTTCTACAAGTAGAATAGCTGGTGTTTTCTTTGTCTGAAATCTCAAGAAAAGGTAATTTGTAAAACATTCCATTTGTCCTGCCGTGCCCTCACATGTTATTAAAATGAATCAGTCTCAGTCTGTCTTAGAGCACTATACATTACTTGGAGACTCAGAATGATTGTTTTCTACTTTTGGCTAGTTTAGATTGCCAACAAAACATAAAATAATAGCAAATACAGGTAATAATATGCCGAGACTCAAGAAGAGATCTGATTCTTATGAAACGGGTGCAATACAGTTTGTCCGAGTGGTTTTGCCATTTGATGACATCATCATAAGGGGCAGGGTCCCGAGCAGATCTGGTAACTACAATGGCACCCAGCCTCTTTAACTATGACCTTTCTGATGCCCCTCTATTGGGGAGGCATGATTGTGTAGATAGGGAATGACCGACTCCAATCCTTCTCTTCCCAGGATGTTTTAAATATGCAGTAGCACCAACATCAAATTACATTATGGGATCAGATTTTCCAAAGACTTGGTAACTCTAAAGCACATAATGATTTTTGTGTAATTTAGGGGGGGAAATATCAGTATTTTTTTGTGAGGAAATTGAATTACTGAAAGAAACTAGCTTTTTTTTATTATTATTATATTCTTATTCATTGTAATTCCTGGAAAATGGCTGAAAATAAATGATCAACTCATTCTAATATTTCAATTCATATCGTTATCCTAAACCCTCACTACAGTTTTTACATTAGCATTTTTCCGTCTTCTATTTTTAAATAAACTAACCATGACACTAAGATCTAATTCATTTAATAATGCAGTGAAAGCTTTTTAAGGGCAGGGTTCAAAGGTTGCTTATAAATACATTAATACTAATATTTGGGTAAATGTCTCTCAGTAAGTCTGTTTTAAGTAAATTTATGGTTATGGTATGGTTGGGTTTTTTTTCAGTGACCGTCTGGATAATTAAGATTGCAGCTTTTAATTTTAAACCAAACAAACAGAAAGCCTTTGGATTTTATTAAGCATTGATTATTTTCCCTACACAATGCATCTTTTCATGTAGATTTCTTTCCCCAGAAGGCATTTGCTTGGACCTTTGAGGGTTTTTTTTTAACCTTCTGCATTACACTATATCCAATTTCATTTTTAAATGAGAGAGAAAATGATTTTAAACATATTAAAAGTAGGTTTGGAATTAAAACAAACAGCCTATACAGAATATTTGAGGTCTGCAATTAAAAGAAGGTTCAAATTAGACATCCAGAATGATTTCCAATGAGAAAAGTGGTCAAAGATCCAATGAGAAACATGCCAGGAAGTTGTGGATGGTTCCAGAAAATCTGGCTTCAGGCGTGGGTGCAACTTGGCAAAAAGTTGAATCTGTATGTACAATTTTAACTGCCTGCATGGAGAAAATCAAAAACAAATTAAAATCTGGGATGCATTTCTTGTTTTTAATACTCACTTGGCTGGTTTAGGTTATCGTTAGGTTATACCCCAGAGGAGAAAACTGTTCAAATTCACAATAATTTAGGCTAAATTCATGCCAGGAAGGAGAGCGTGTGTTCTTAGGTCAACTAAATGATAAGAGTTAAAATCCCTCAGATTCAGTGTTTACTGTTATGTTTCTGCTAAACGTTTCTGTCACATTCACTTAAATCGGATCAATAACACCACTACTGAGATATATTGGATAAAAATATATATATTTTTTCAAATAAAATCCATTAATGATGAACGTCATTACTAAACTAATTCAGCTTTTAATCATAAAGCTGAATTAGTTTAGCATCTTATGGTAGCAGGTTGGTTTTTTTGCCGTTTTTCTTTTCATAAACCATCTTTGTTTTTTAGCCTTTATGAAATAATATATTTCCTATTCAAATAAATAAAAGCATATTTTAAAATTTTTTTAATTAAACAACCAGTACGACAGACATCCAAATTACTGCTACTATCAGGTGTCTCTGGATAAAGGACAATATCATATTATTTATTTCAGTACTTTAATTCAGAAAGATTAAATTATAAAAAGATAATTAGTCTCCTGTTCCTGCTATTTTGGTTGGTTGTGGCCAAAACATCTGTTTATTACATATTTTTTCATCTATATTTTGCTAAAGATGGATATTTTGGATATTAATGGAAAATCTGAGGATGAAGATGATTAAGCATATGCATAAAAATGAATGAAAATGGAAGTGCAAAATTAATTTGAGAGAAAAATAACAAAAGACATAATA